CTTATTAATAAATTCCGTTGGCACCATGCAATTTTTATACCCGAGCGCACTTGTGCACAAGGGTATTATAACTTNGGACTCCGCTGCTGCAAATCCATCAGAATCCATAATTTTCCTCAAAATATTTAAAATCAACCAATTTTACTATAAACAAGCACATGATGAGTGTTTTTTTAATCCTTTTCCACTTTGTTTTCCTTCATACAGCTGTCTTCGAAAATCAACTGATAGCTGGCAATGCTGCACATTTTTCCGCAAGGGTTGCAGCATGTCGATTTTTCGTTTTTCGTGACGTAGCTACGAATTTCGAATTACGAAAATTCGGGTTCTAGAATAAGGGTGAGTGTGTATTTTTTGTTATATTTTCTTTGTTTGATGTTCAATGTAAGTTATGTTTTGCATGAAAAAATTGTTACACCAACGTATTGTACTTGTTATAATTTTTATTTACGTACATGTGTGCCTAATTGTTTGTTTTTTATGTTTTGTTTTCAATAAACACCAGACTCCCTGAGGAAGATGTGAAAAACATCGAAACACGTAGAAGGAAATAGAAACATTGCTTGCTTTTTATTAAATCGGCCGAAAAGCTCCTTAAACTACCCTACAAAATATTTTTTTATTTTAACTTTTATTTCAACATATATTGATTAAAAGAACAATACTGATAAAAATAAAATATTTCACACAAACAGGGTTGAAATTTTGAAATTTCTCCCGTATTTTGTTTGTAAGTCAAATATGTATTAGTGGCATTGTGCTACTATGATAGGACGGCCGAGTAATCATAGTCAACTTATGTATGTAAAATTTTATTTTTGTTGTTATTTAATTTTGGTTAATTTTTTATAGTTAATTCCTTAACAACATCCGTATAAATACAAGTTTAAAAGCAGTGTCACACGATTGGGTATTTGCCGAAATTTGGTGCAAATCGTATCCCGTGTGAATACCAAAATATTTTTCTTTATCCCAATCACGAAAAATAATTTGTTGAAATTTTTCAATAGAAGACTGCTGTATTGTACCAATATTTTGACTACAAAAAAAAATTGTCCCAATTTTATTATTTTGTACCAATAGTTTAATATAAAAATGCACAAATCTGTACAAACGTACGAATCGAGTGACACTGCCTTAAAAATGTATGCACTTAAAAAAAAATCAACAAATCTTCGTAAAAATTTAAAGTTTTTAATTAGATTCTGAATATGCAGTTTTCTAGCCCATTGAATTCTAGTAGAGTAAAGTACAAGTTTCAAATGGCTAAAAATTATGGTTGATTTTCAAAATTTTTAAAAAAGCTCGAAATTTTGTACGAAAGAGTGTTGATTTTTTTTAGTATTGCACAAAGTTGGAAACTTGGATTTTCATGGGGTTTGTTAAAGAAAGAACTATATTTTTTATAAAAAAATAACCAACATTAACTAACAAAAAATAATACGTTAAAACTTGACAAAAAGTGGTTCGGCTATAATTTTTTGACCACTGCATGTATTTTTTTATATATTTAATTGGTCATGCACATTATACATAACGGTATGCACTAGAGATATACATTTTCCCAGGATTAGTCCGGGGACTTTCAACAACTTAAATCGAAAAAAATTGCTTCTATATTCTTTGCGAAACTCTCCTACCATAAAATAAATAATTAATAAATTGGTGTGAAACCTACTTTATTATTTAAAGTGGCATTTTTTTCTCTCTGACGTCAGGATTTATTTTAAAGAACTTTGTAATTTCAAACATATGAAATGAAAGAGGAAATTTCTTTAGAATTAAAAAAAAAACTTAAATTTGTTGGATTCACAAGGACAAATAGGTAATTTTTTAAGCTCATAAAGTTAGAACCACGAAATTCGAGGATGTTACCGAGTTTATATAAGTTCTTAACATATAATTTTTTCAAAAACAAATATTGCGAAATTTCAGGGATATAATTTTAAAAGGAGGTTTTCAATACTTACCAGTCCTTATGCACCGAAAAATTGAACCCCCATAAGTTCTACATAATTTCCTCTTTTATTTGGAACCCATACTTCTTCTCCAAGGAATTTTCACTGAAATTTTTAAATCATTTTTGAATTACTGACGTCAGAGTTAAAACTAAAAACGCAATTTTACTATACTTGGCCATGGATTTACTATCGCACGGTGTTATATGTATAATGAGTTAGACATTCACAAAAAAAAATATATTAATTTAATAAAAAAAAAGAAATATAGCCAATACTGGTCAAGAAAAGGAATTTCTATGATTGCCATCAGTGCAAATCACAAATCCCGAAAATCCTGGGATTATTTGCTAAGGATCACGAGGAGCACCTACCAAATGTCAATGCTGCAAAGCAACCCTGTGGTGCTACAAATGGAAAATATGTACATTAGGCTGGGTCGATTTTTTATGGGGGAAAATAAAAGGCATTTGACCGTATTGTAATAGTAATATTATGATGTCTTAGGTCTAAGCCAATTGTTATTGGCCACGAAAGATTAATTTAAAACTTATCTTTAGCCCGCGCAATTGAATCAAAGTGTATGAATTTTTAAAATTTAACTTTGGCTTGTAATATCTATGGTATGCGTTAATTGTTATAAATAGGACGATATATCAAATTAAGGGTTATTAAATTTAGTATCTCACGTTCAGTTATCATTTTTCAATAAGTCTACACGTTTTTAAGGTATTAAGATAAAACTCACAAAAACTATAATTTTCCTTTATGAATTTTCAATTCTTCATTGCTTCAGCAACCAAATGAAAAATTCAAAAAAGTGAGACGAGATATATTTCAAACGATCTAATGTTTTCGGATGTTTATATAATATTAAGTGGGCCATGGGCCGATTTGGTCAGTTTTCAAGATTGTGGTGAATGAAGTCAAACATGTATTGTCAAAGATTACGAATCGTTTGATAAGTTAATTGTAGTTTCAAGTATATAAGTATTTATATACATTAACATAATACAATTAGGGTGAGAAACGCCCATTTTAAGTCCATTTATGCAGTCTTGAAAATTGTTCGCGGTCTCTAATTCTGCCGTTATATGAAAGTAGGGGACGTGCAATAAGTGTTTAGATATACATAAATATTTTAGTTAATTCCATGATGTGAAAAAGTGACTGTAGGTAAATGCAATAGTATTTAACATATCCTGGGAAATCCTTTTGAGGACTCTCCAATTGGACGATATTGCTTTGCATTTAGCTTGAACGAAAAAAGTCACTCCCTGACACCCTTTTCCGTAATCCGGCTCTTTCATTTAAAAGTTATTTATACAATTTAAGAGAAATTTTTTTAGAAAAAAGCTGGAGATCCACTTAAATTTTTCCATATAACTTTGGTAAATGTTACTCGATCGGTACTTAATAATTACCAAATTGAAGGCGAGACTTAATGCTACCGATTTTTGATAATAATATGATTAAAATCGCTCAGATTATAAACAAATTATTTTTAAACAAAAAAAATTTTGAACAAAGTTTTTTGTTATTTTCTTATATTTGCAATTTTTATATTGTATGCATAAATATAAGTAAACCAATTAGTGTTTCTAGAGGTTGTGCCTGTTCAGTGTTTCCAGACCCATTTGCATAAACAAAATTTTTCCACGATGATGGAAAATAATGGCTTTTATATTAGAGTTACCGAAATTGTCCCTATATTTGCAAAAATTCGCAAACTGTAGCTAATATTAAAAAAAGATTAGAATATTTGGAACCAGCGACATGCCAGCACGCCAGCAATATTAATGCTGTTCATCACATCTTTTGACTATAGGCCAGTGCAATTATCAAGAGAACAATTAAAATTTCCTTGAAAATAGTTAAGTTTCAGATTAACGATAAGCTAAAGTGCTGCGAGAAATGATATTTGACTTTATCTTTTGCGTTAACGGATTCATTATATAATAATATGCACCAACCCTTTTTACTGAACCCAGAATTTTTAACAAGAATTGGTCTTATTCGACTAGTGTTCTGTGGGTCACTTTGCGGTCGATGCGCGGGCTCTTAGAACTAAAATAAAATACTAATATTTTGCAGGCTTGTTGTTGACTTCATGATACAATATATTTTCACTATTACCAAGGGATCTGAGAAAAATTAGATTTTCGACCCGCCCTAATGTACATTGCTTATCAATGTTATTAACATGTAAAGATGTAGTAGATGCACACAACCAAAATGCCATAAGAATCCCTGCAACAAATCAAACTGGTTCAGAATTTGCGCTGAGCTAGCTCGAAAAGGGACGGTACTGGTTCTTCATCTGTCCCAACTCAATGGCGCATATTCATAGTCATGTTTAGTACTCAACTAAGTCGAAACTATTTTAAGTCACAACTAAAGCTATTCATAGTCGCCTTAGTTTCGACTTTCTGGCTAAGTACCAACTTAAAATTTAGTTTCGGCTGCAGCTGCAACTAAGTCGTAACTAGTATAAAATATTTTACGAGCTGATGGTAGAAACAACAAAATAAAGTAAACATGGAGCGGATTGAACGCGATTTTGCAATTTCGGAAGATCNTGGATTGAAGGGAAGATCTAGAATTGATTAGAAAAGTAAAAAGTTATAAAGTGCGATGTGATCCATTTGAATTGGATAAAGAGCAATTTTATGCGCGGTACAGGTTCGATAAAGCTACATCGTAATTTATAATTGACATGCTGGAAACGAATTCGGAAAATAGCAACAAAGGCCTTCCTGTTTCTTTACCACTGCAAGTACTTTGTACATTAATATTTTTGGGACGAAACGTTCAACAAATTTATATTGGTAAGTACATACCTATGTATTTGCAAGTACTTATGCAAATATTTTGTTCCTAATTCATGGCGCAAGCTTTGTTTCAGGTGATCTTCATGGCTTGTCACAACCAACAATAAGTCGAATTATTAAAGACAACTAAAAGAATCGCTTTGTTCCTACCAGATTTCGTCAAATTTCCAAACGAGGCCGGTGAAATCAATGTTGTAAAAAAGAATTTTTTTAATGTAGCTCGATTTCCGAAGGGTTACTATTCATTAAATGTACAAGTTCGTATGAACATATATAAAAAAGCAACCGTATTAGCATACAAAAGCTTACACTTTCTTACTTGCAGATTGTTTGCGATGCCGATTGTAAAATTTTGGACATTGTTGCAAGAACCCGTGGTTCTGTTCATGATGCTAGGATCTGGAATATGTGTCGATTAAAAACAAATTTAGAAGCAACAAAGCATGTACATAAAGGCGTACTGCTTGGTGATGGAGGCTATCCTGCTTCTTCAATCATGTTAACACCAGTTCGGGATCCGACGACAGAAAAAGAACAAAGGTAATTAACAAAACTTTGCTCTGAAAACTTATAATTTATATTTTTTCTAAGCAGATATAATAGAAGTCACATAACAACAAGAACTAAAATTGAATGCTTAAACGGAGAAATTAAATCGAAATTTCAGTCAGTGCTGGAAAGGATTCGGGTAGACTTAGATACGGTCAAAAATATAATTTTTGCCGTTGCTGTGCTTCATAATATAGCAAAGGAAAGAAATATGCAATGTAATTTCATTTCTTATTATCAGGATTGCGTGATTTTAAATTAATCAAACCAATTATTTTTTGCAGTTCTTGACGCAGTACCACGAAACGGAACACTTTCACTCGCCCAAAATCTTTCTGTGGACATCCCTGAAAGCGTCTCTGGGAGAGCATTCAAAACTGCATTTATTAATAATCACTTTTGAAGCAATTTTATTTATCACATTTTTCGTTTCCCATTTTCTGACATGTATTCATAGAAAAACTTAAAACTAGATATTTACACTTGTGATCAGCTGATTAAGTCATCAACATTTTAATCAATTTTGGCTATTTTCCTTTTGTTTATTTAATGTTTAATAATTTCCCATAAAAGTCTAGCTCATTATATAACAAACACCATATAAATCCTAATTTCAAACTTTGTGCAAAAATTCTAAAAAATCTCAATAAAACGTTGAAAATTTAGCTGAAACTGCACATTTTTTATAAGTATTGCACAAAGTTTGAAATGATGATTTATATGGAGTTTGTTATATAATGAGCTAGACTTTTATGGCAAATTATTAAACATTAAATAAACAAAAGGAAAATAGCCAAAATTTATCAAAATGTTGATGACTTAATCAGCTGATCACAAGTGTTCATACACTCATCCACATCTAAGTTCTGCAGCGCTTTTTTATCGATATTCATGGTCAATTTATTTCGTAATTTGTATAAAGAAGTATAGTAAATTTTATAACTAAGGATTTATAACCCAAAACTTCCAACTTTGTAGACAAATTTTGAAAATTTCAACAAAATATCAAACTCTTTAATCAGAATCAACGCTAATTCTTTGCCACTTTTAATTTGCATATTATTATGGTAAAATTTAATTAGCTATAAAACTGCATTCTCGATTCTTTTTTAAATTCTCTTTAAAGCCTGAAATTTTCATAATTTGTCTACAAAGTTTGAAGTTATAAAGCCTTTGTTGTAAAATTTACTATACNGAGTGTAACTCAATTTCATTTATAAAAATCTTAAGTCTGGTTCAGTCTCGGTACTTTAAAATTCACTAATAAAAATCGTTATACTAATAGAACCATATCTATCTTAGTTCAGGTATATCAAATGATCACTTTCTGGATTTGTATGAAATTATAAAAAAACAAGTAAGAGCAGCGCTGTCTTCGGCTATGCCGAAGGCTTCATACCTTTCATGAACATCTGCAAATTTTAGTTTGACAGATTACTGCTTTTGAATACATCTGCATACATCGATAGAGGAGTTACATACTTATATAAAAAATCGCATCTAAACAATCAGAGGTATGGAAGATATACTTTATATGACACCAATCTAAGTGATTTTCACCGCTATGTGATCGGTATGTAAACCGGTAACACAATTTATTCCGCCACTGCCCACTTCTTTGTAGGATTGCAGCGCACCCGCATTGTCTTTGCCTGAAAATTCATTTTGTAAGAGTAATTCAGCATCAGTATTTACATATGCATGTGCATTAATTTACCTTTACTTCACTAACGTTCTGCATTTGTTTAAATATTAAAGTTCTTTATTTTTCGACTTCAAAAATTTCCTTTGGTATGCAGCGCAGAAGAAGAAGCACAAGCACAATGAGGTAAACAGAAATCAGCTGATCAGTTATAACACACTGAACACATAACATGCAGAGTTGTATTATTTTAATATCTTTATCTATCCAAGACAACAACAAAATTTTAACCAATGTGAAATTTTACGATTTTAAGATTTTACGACGCTTAACACGTTTTGTGAATCCCCTAATTGTATTATATTATGACATATATTGGTTATATTGTGTTCTCAACTTCATGCAGTAAACAGTTCATGCGCAGGTTGCTTTGTTAAATACACACATACTGAGACACAATTTTTTCGCTTGTATTGGAAGCTCTGCCAGCGCTGTGCATCACTGTTGTATATACTTTGGGGTTGTCCAAAATAAGTAAAGTCGGAATTTTAATGCTAACCTCATAGGATTGTACTATACCTACGGTGACCATATTTATTGCAGCTGAATACGGACATAAAATAATTTTCCCAAATTTTCGCCAAAACCTTTTCCAATTATCCTAGATTTATTAGCTCTGAAACAGCGTCTTTATTTGGCATATATTTTTCAAACTTTTGTGAGAGCAAATATTCAGTTGTAACATCACACAATTGTAGAATACTTTTCCATAACTTTCTGCTTTGTGCTCGGGGTTTTTTCAGGGACCGTAAATAGCAGTTATTTTTTTCCAAAAGTCAAACTTGGCCAGATATTTATCAAGTTCGAAATAAAAGTCTTTCCGGATAGTAAACAAACCGCTTATCCAAATTAAACAAATTTGGTACCAGATGAAGAAGAACTTAAATAGCTTTTGAACAGAAATAACGATCGAAAGCTACCACTTCTATTTATATTTATACCTTTCATGAGCATGAAATGGTATTATAACTTTGGTCCGATGTTTGTAAGTACCAGAACAAAAAGAGATAGACCCATGAAAATGTATAC